TCTCGTTCACCTTGAGGATGTCAGCAATATTCAAAGATTCACATGCGACTTACCCACACTACTGCATCGGTGGCGTCAACTTTTGATTTACAAACTCAGTTCCTTGATCAGACCCCAGGAATCTGACAGGTCGCTCACATTGCTTCAGCTGTAAGATCAACGTCTTCAAGTTGTCTGTACATTGAGACTTTTGACGGAGTAAGAAGCCCCATAGGTATCGTGAGTATTCATCCTCCACGAGCTGAAACATCACGTTTCCAGCAACCGAAACCTCACCATAGTGACAGACATCGGTCATCAGTTTTTTACAACACCTTATTGATCGACATGGAGACACATTCTTGTATGACATTCTTCGCGATTTTGCTAATGTACAGCTTAGGCAATCCATCGCATCTCTAGTGCGCTTACTAGGAGAGATCGTCATGCCTGTAGCCATCCGATCACGATGGAGTTGCTGCAATGCTGCAAAATTCACATGACCAAAGCGAAGATGCCACCGAAATATCGATTCACCTCCAGCCACAAATGATGCAACTACTTGAGGTGAATTACACAAACCACGAGTGCGATAGTAACCTCGACTCTTGACAAACACTATTGCTGTCGGCCCCTTCCATAATAGCCGTCTTGGAGGTCCGTCCTGAGGATACTGTGACTCACATTGCCAGCCTTGCTCTTCAAGTGCATTAACACTTAGCAGATTAACGTGACATCCAACAACATTACGAACTCCAGTAAGAACGCAATCAAGCGCTTCTCCAGTTTCGCCACGTCTATCTTGTGCGGATAGGAAAGATACAGGCAATTGAGACACCAAATGTTCCGTTGTTACTTCTCCTGTCCACGATTCATGTGGCGTGTTCGTCTCCACGTAGTGCGGGAGCTGTGTCATAAGTGACCGGTCAGCGCAGGTATGCGTAATAGCTGCTGTGTCTAATATCCACTCCAATGAACTAGAGGTATCAAACGTCGACAATAATGTAGACCCAGTACTTGACACAGCACAAGTATTTTCAACACGACCGATCATTCCCAATGGTAACGGCTGAGGAGGTCCACCTTTGTTTCCCCCATATCCTCTAGAGCTATCCCCAGAATTGTTGCCACACTTTGCCTTTTCAGCATCTACGTTGCCGTGCTTCAGATCAAATTTGAGCTTACGACACTCAAATTTGTGATGGCCTTCTCTATCACAATAGAAGCACTTGCCCTTCTTTCGTTTACCAGGACCAGACTTTTGATTGGCTTTGCTTCCTGCTTCACTGGATTTAGCTCCACGAGATTGTGCTCCACTGGGTTTAACCCAGCTAATATGTTTACTAGATTTGTCACAAGTTTTCTGTTTCTTAGCCACGTGCATGATCTGAGTTTCCCTCTTTCTCATCGCGGACGATCTCATCCATCTCGGTCTCGGACTTCAGTGTGTTCAAGACTTGCTGCAGAGTGGGTCGGGACCCGGGAGCTATGATGCGAGAAAACTGACGCACGACATCTCTGTGTGTCTGCACTACTCCCATGAGAATCACGTCCACAGTGAGATCATCATCGATAACTCGACCCAGATTAGCCAACGCACGACGTGTATCGTGAATTTCCTGAAGCCAAGAATCCATCGTCTGCTCACGAGTGTAAGCTGCGTGGAAGAATTGCTTCAATACCCACACGTAATTAGAAAACTCACGCTTAGTATGGTGTGCTTCCAGATCTTCCGACATTTCCTTGCCAGTTGGAAGATCACACATACGCTCAGCGTCTTCAACTTTAGCACCTCGAAGCAACGTATCTTTCACAAAGAAGTCCAACATATCGTAGCGCTGTTGAAGTTCCCCATTTACAATCGGACGCTGTACGGATCCATCGATCAGACCCCAAGCATTAAGTCGATGTAAATAGGCCATAACTTGAGCGCGATAGAGGTTAAAGCTTCCTGCCATTTTTGGTGGGTTTTTGTTCACATCCAACGCTAGGTTAGGCGGTGGCAATGATATCCTTCGTTGTTGTTCTTCATTAGCATGCAACCTCGCTGGAGCGTTCACCACCGGAGTTCCAGTCAAAATGAGTGTTGAAGTTGGTGAGCTCAACGCAGAAACAGACTGCGGCTGTGGAGACTGAAGGACAGGAATCCCGCCAGCACCACCAGCCAACGGACCTACCAGTCCAGCCGCTACTGACGCTTCAGGCGCTGATACAGCCATCATCCGTCGCGACGCGGTCGGAGACGGAGTACCAAGTAAGTCTGACATCAAAGGCAGCGTCCACGACACCGTCAGCGTTCACGTAAGTTCTGGAAGTTTACTCTAATTTTGGGCTCATAACCCTAACAGCGAACGTCCCCTACTCGTTCACTTGCAGAGGTCGTGTACGATGTCTGGACAGTGTTTACGACGGAAGAAGTAAGCGTTAACACACTACTCGCCCCACACTTGGCAGAAGGGGAATTGCTGGAGCTCCACCCTTGGTGGACTCCGTTAGAAATAAAAATATCAACCAAGTATCCAACGGGCGAGTGACTATCAATACTAAAAAGACTTCTGGTTTCTGAGACTGCGTCGTCCAGGTCTCATACATTGTCGGCCGCCCATTGGCTGCTATGCTTGCGAATGACGGCGCTGACGTGTACAGCGCCGACATTGACTCGCTGTACCTATTCCGTCGCGGTAAGCTCATCCCGAGCGAAGAGACGCAGGAGACGGCGTGTAAGAAGTCTCGTGTCATCATTACTGGCGTCCCCGTTAAGAGCTACAAGCTGCCGCTTGAGTGGGTCAGCGAAAACACGGTCATCATCTACGTCGCGTCCTTCAAGAACGTGGACGATGCCGAGCTGCTTAAGATAAAGGGCGTGCAGTACGTGCCACTGGTGGGTAAGGTCACGGTGGCCATGCTCGAACGCAACCTGCTGCGTCTGTACGAGAACTTCCACTGGAAGCCTAAGAAGGTCTGGCAGTAAGAGTGTGGATGAGGATAGAGAGAACACCTCGCTCACCGCTAAAATACATATATCTTCCTCGTTACAGGGAAATTCACAGCGTGTGCAGTACCGTAATACGCTAACTGTATCCAATTACAGTTAATAGCGCCTATGCTGACTCCATTATCTCTACATGCACTAAACTGAACGCTGTGACTTTATTCTGGTCGTTCACGGCTTTCGCTTCGAGTGTGTGCGGCCCCACGCCGAGTCCACGCAGCAGCATATTGCCATCGTCCACGTGGGTTTTCTTCAAGTAAATGTCGTCATCAATCAGCAACTCGAGAGTTTGTACATTCACGGCTGTGTACTCGAGGACAATAGACTGATGTCGTTCGAAGATAGCACCATCCAAGGGAGACGTTAGTGATAGGTGTACCTCGTCCTCAATAGAGGGAGTGGGTGGCTTTCGAACGTAGACATCTTTCTTGTATGTCGTGAGCTCTTCGATTAGCCCAGGAATGGGGATAGTAACTTCGAGATGAAGCTTAAATATCGCGTCGTGTGTGAATTTTCGGAGAGGAATCGACAGTGCGATTGAGCACTTCAGTATTGTCGTCTTCGCTTTCAAGTGCAAGAAATCCTATTTCCGACGTGAAAACCTCGTCGTCCAAAAATAATTCGTATCGAAAAACCTCGGCGCCATACAAATGCAGAGCTTCAGTGGGAAAGTTGGCAAGTTGCCACTCGAATGAAACACCTTGTGGCGTGATTATTGAGTTTCCCACGGGGTTCACAATGTGCACGGAAACATTCGAGATATCGTACGCCGAGAACAGTTCCTCGTAGTTCGATAAGGGGAACACTACAGGGTGAAAGAAGCTGTACACACACGCAAGGAGGTACGCAACTAACACCGTGGCAGCTCCCCCCACAAACAGAAGCTCTTGCTGGGTGGGATCACCATTATTTCGCTTCTTCTTGGTCTCCGTCAAAAGCCCCTTGCTCTTTGCCACCGCTTGATTTCCCGTCGACTCTGGACGTCCCTTAACCACAGCCTTCGAGCTCTTCTTTTCCCTCTCCGGCGGTCTTTTATCTTCTTGTTGCACGCCATCGTCTGAATCTACATTCGGATCAGCACAGTCGTCCTCGTGCTCCGCCTTGGCGATGTGAGCGCTCTTGCCTTCCATGCTGTTTTTCGATTCCAGATCTTTCATGCAAATCTCCTGCTCGATTGCCTCCGGATGCGGAGTGTCTGCCGAATTGCCATCATCCTCCGACTCGCACGAGGTCACCTCCGATGTGATAGTGTCTAAGAGCTCTTGGGCCTGTAAGTACATGAACTCACTACCATTATCACTTGTTAGGATATCCACTTTGTGGAGACGAACAAACGCTTTAAGCGCTTCTAACACAATTGCTGCCGTCTTGTTTCGTAAGAGCTTTGCGTACCCCAGCCTTGAGTTGATGTTACTAGCAGTCAAAATTGGCCGTTTCTCCCAATACGCAAGATCAATTTGCCACGAGTTGGGGTTATGCGAAGCTATTTTGAAACCATTGAATCTCTTCTTTTGCTCCTGAAATCGTTGAATATCGGGCTGACTCCCATACCAATCCTTTACTATTTTGAAAGTTATCTTAGGATTCAACTCCTTTGCTTTCTGATACAGAGCTTGAGCTCCTATAAAACCGGTTTTTGGGTCATAGTAGAGTTTCTTTAATAGCGCGTCCATGATCTATATTTACATTAAAAAAATCCCCAGTGGCTAGCTGCTTAAATTACAAGTGGTTCAGTCGTGATACCATCATCAAGTACTCGACGTTTGTCATAGTACTAGTTAAGCGCTGTTTTGGTTTGAGTATAGGTGATGATAGACTTGGCTTCTTTCGATAGTCTGAACCCCTTGTTTGTACCTTGTAGCATGATGCGATCCCGTACGACAGTCTCAAACCCATCAGAATTAAGAACACCATTGTTTCGACCACTTCCCTGTTGAATACCCTTCGCTGAAACCTTTACTTGGTATGTCTCATCGGGTAGTTAGCAAATATAGTTCTTACTCGATAGTGAGACCATAGCATCACCTTGACCATTCATCTTTGAACAAACCAGGCGTAACGGCGATCAACTGAGCTACCTCAGTGTTGTAGTCACGTGGAAATCCAATCGTATATACGCTGCTTGAAGTATGTTCGTAGCCCAGGCTTAATACAGTCTTGAAATGGATTATCACAGCTGAAAGCGATATAAGCCGAATCAGTGTCCATCTCCTGATACTGGAAGTCAGAGCGATCGAAGTAGAAACTTATGCAGTCATAGTAAAACTGAAGCATGCGTAGCTTAGCAAGCTGATAGATAGCAATCGACAAATGGATTAGGTTCTTATTATTGAGTCGGCGCTTCTTCATCGTGATCTCACACGCATCATTAAGCTCCTCGAGACCATGGAACGTAAAGTGTTCGATCTTGTTTTTAATAGCTTTGTCACTCGACTCATACTTAACCTCTTTGTGCTTGCTCATATCCATGCCAGATCGACCAAAAGCACTGTTGCCTACCAGTTTCATCATCTCGGCAATCATAGCCTTAGACTTATCAACATCACCCTCTCGCCGGGCGTTTGATACAGCCTTCATAAATGGAGCAAAAGCTTTATGGGAGCTCGCTTTTATGAAGCTGTAAGTCTTGGTGATCTCCAACCGAGAATTGATGGTGTGCTTTCGACTTGACGAAGTCTAAGCGCAAACGTCTCTTAAGACGAATATCGGTTTTAGAGAAGCTTTCTCGACGAGCATCATAAAAGGGGAGCCGTCAAGCTCTCTCCACCCAGCTTCGAAATTGTGCTTCGAAAGCACGCTGGGATTCTCCAGGGTTGAGAGCATCCGGAATGGTTCGCATGGAAGGAACTGACTGGTGTTCGGATATCACATTCAAGAAAGCCGAATACTTTGTATGCTTTGATGTCATCGATGATACCATCATACGCTTCAACCGTAGTCAATCGACCGCATGGCATCTCATTACCAAGGGCCCATATATATAGAGCGTTAGCGTCGTATCCGATAATTTTCTTGCAGATCTTACCTCCATGAATCTTCGTCTCGTTTCGCTTAGCATACCT